CATTTTGATCTTGTTATATGACATTCTGGACTACCATTTCGGAGACCTACCAGACTCTATCTTGTGACCTATCGGTGTGATCTACCTCCTACCTCCTTCGTCTCTCCTCCCACCTTTCATCTGTGTATGTGTGTACGGGATCTGGGTATCGTCTATGAATGACCCAGACCCCACCATCTCATGATTGTATGTGTGTGGAGTGATGCCATGTAGGTCAGTCTATGTGAGTCAGTCTATGTGAATCAGTTCGTTATCAGACTTCCGCTGCATAAATGCTCATCCTATATTGGTTGATCTTTGGTTCTGCCCATACTCGTTGAAGTATGTAACATGTGCACTGGGATGCCTATTGGAGGGGGACTATGCTGGCCTCTTCACAATGCCCTCGTCTACCACCATTTGCCGTCATTCATATTTTTTTAAGCTTTTTTTTTGGGGTAATGTTTGGCTCCTTTGTCGATTGCGTGTGTCATCCTTGCGCAGAGGCCATGCTAATCTTCTCTTTATCGGTCTGATTTTAACAGATGTCCCCAAGGATTACCCTCTTTCATCTCCGTTTATCTTAATTTGCATTCCTTTACCTTTCTCCCCTTACCTTCTCTTACCACCTTCCGCACCTTACATCGCGTTCCGTAACTTCCTTTAGCATTCCTTGCTCTGCTGTCAGCTTCCTCTTCTCTGCTTACCTTTTTTTCTTTCACCTGTGTTATTTTCCGTTTTGTTCTCAGCGTCCCTTAAACTTTCATCACCTCTGGTGTCCCTCCTTGACATTCGATCACACTCCTTCCTTCCCGATTGTCCCTTGATCTGTGCTACATCAGGATCAGGGTCGCTCTGCACGCACAGGTGGTCCGGTGTAAACACTGGCGCTTGACGTTTTGGCAGGTGATGAAAGCGAGGAGAGGCAAGCGAAGGCAAGTCAAGGCCAGTTGATGTGCCAGAAGGCCATGTATCGCGCGCCAGTGTTTCCCATCAACATTGTATGCAACTGTGACGGGGCAATGCCATTTCGCCAGCAATGCAGTGTCGCTCACCGGATTTCCTATTAAGGTTAGCACTTCCTAAGTTCCTATAATCCCTCACCTCAGCTTGGTTCCCCTGTCTCTAGCTTCTGGTTAATTCCCTCCTCACCCCAACCTCTGTCCTTTCCTGTGCATCTCCTTTTGCTTGTTGACTTTCTCCCTCTTCGATTCAACCCATCCCCCGAAATCACACAGATACGGCCAGTCTATCATTCGTGATGCCTCTCTGCACTTGTCTCTCTCCCTCGGTTTCCCTTCACCTTCTCCCAATTTCTTGCTCTCTAACCCTCTTTCGCTCTCTCCCTTTCTCCCTCTCTCCCTCTCTTCGCTGTAGTTCTTTCTTCCCCCCCCCCTCTAGTCTGCAAACTGCGTCAAAGTTAAAGAGTCTTGAGACTCGGACCAGGTTGCCATCACCACTGTTTTTGAAAAGCTATGCGTGCAGTGCTTTGCATGGCCTCAGTACATTAATGTAAGGGTTAGAAGGACATGAGAATATTTTCAGAACTCCCGTCTTTTTTTTCTTTTTTTTAATATTGTTAATGACCATGTTTATTCCCAAGGATGCTTGTGTGCTTGTTCAGCAGAAGGCAGGTGTGTCGGGACTTCTCACGCAACCACACATGCACTGAGAACATTGCATCCAGCATCTTCTTTTTCCTTGTTTTTTTTTTTTGTTTTTTTTGTTTTCTGCTGTCATGTCGGATTCATTTACGTTTCTGTTTCTTCTGCTGTCTTCCAACCTGACTCTTCTCTGCTCTTGCTGTTCTGCTTCTTTTTCCTGTTTATTTGTTAGACCAAGTTGACTCCCAGGGAGTTTCGTGAACTTGTTTAGCAGAAGTCAGCTGTGTAGGGACTTCTCACTCAACCACACATGTACCGGGAACACTGCATCCACCGTCTTCTTTTTCCTTTTTTCTGTTCCCCCCCCCCCCCCCCCCCCCCCCCCTTGTTTTCTGCTGCCATCTCGCATTCTTGTGCTTTTTGCTGCACAAGAGTGCGAGATAACAGTAGAAAACAGGGAAAAAAAAAAAAACCTTGGTCGTTTGACCATCGACTTGTAACATCGGTAACCTGGGCCTTTACCCCCCGAGGTATCCCGGGGCCCAGAGCCGTTTGGCACTGATACTGGCACCAGGGGGTGGTAATACTCCTGAGGGGGGGTTCTTCCCAAATAAGGAGCATCACGGAAAGGATCGAGGGGACTACATAAGAGCTGAAGACGGTGGACGCAATACTCCCCGTGCACGTGTTGTCAAGTGAGAAGTCCCTACACACCTGCCTTATTCTTACCAAGCACACAAACATCCTTGGGAGTAAACTTGGTCTGAACGATACACACATCTTGCTGTTTGTAAACTGAGTATGAGTTTGGAGGCTGATTGAGTCAGTTGAATGCAATAATGTTGAGGGGTAAAGTTGATATCTGAGCAGCAAACAAACACGTATGCTCTCTGGCAGGCGTTTTTTTTTTCCCTACCTCCCAGCCCCTTCTATTCTGGGGGGCATCAGTCCGGTTGCTTCTCATCGACAAGCAACGTTTTTTGAAACAAGCAGCGGGGGGGACTAGACAGAAAAGATAGTCAGCCTACCCTTGTGGCACGAGCCGCCTATCCAAGGGGGGGTTGCTCCAGGACCACCCACTCCCACCCTTTGGCCTGTCCTTAGGGATTGTCCTGCAAGTCGGGAAGGTTACTAGCAGCACCCAGGCACACTGTAGGACAATCCCTAAGGGATCGAGGCATGGGGGGGGTAGGAAGAGGGGGGGGTCTTCCTCTGTCTCTTATACACATCTAGATGTGTATAAGAGACAGCCTTCGCATTATGTCTACCTGAGCCCAGCATTTCCTCTGCCTCCTATCCCCATGTCATCTGTATCCCTGAACCCTTCTGACCTTGGTATCCTACCTCTCCTACCATCAGGTTTTTCTTTGCTTTAAACCTGTGTTGCCTATCTATCCCTAAGCCTTAATCCTATCTACCTATGCTTGATCCTTTGTGGCATTAGCACCGAAAGTGGCCGAAGAAGACCGAAAAAGGTTCACATTGGTGATGGAGGTGCTTTTTGTCCTGTCGTTGTGACTCCTGATCTTGTCTGCACATGCGAGTTCTCTTGCGAGATACCTGTGACTTTTTTCCTGGTATGCAGACTTGCAGAGTGCAAACTGGAGAACCACCTTATCAGAGTGGTTGTGCTCACACCAATAAATACGGACCTGACACTTGCGGATGGCGGACAACAATGGCACAGTAGAATTTCCTGCTTAACCTGGCGGGAATGCCTCCGATAGTGGTGGTTTAAGAATTGGTGGTTTCGTTTATGGTGGAGATATGCATGCGGCTGGGGAATTTGCTGATTCTTTTGTCCCTGAGCTGTCTTAGAAGTCTTAGCCGAGAATAGTATATGCCTGCTAAATCTCAATTTTGACTGAAAATTTGTATGGTTTCTTGGTAGAGAGGTGACTTGGGGCGGAAGGGGAAATCTTTCAGTTGGATTGTTTGAACTTTGAACGTATTCGCAGGCTTTTCAGTTTTTTTTGCTGTTGCCGGGCTCACCTAGCGAGTAAGTGGCGTTTCTGTATCCATGTACATAGAACTCTGTGCTTTCCGCAGCGTCTACTCTGGTATTAATTGAATATTCCACAAGCTCTAGCCCCCCCCCCCCCCCATCAGGAGGATGGTTAGAGGTCTGCTGACTGTCACTTGTGTCGGTCTCCTCGAACTAACTGCAGATGTTTGCATTATGCCTGTCTTTTGCAGGGCCGCATCAAAAAAAAAATAGTTGCTGTCTTGGTCAGCAGAGAAGCAAGGGGAAGAATGTACGCATATGTCTATTCAATCTTAATCTGACAGATTGAGAGGTCTAACATCGGCAGTACGATGCCAGGTCTGCTGAATGTAGTGTCAGTCTCAACTTTTTGATTGAAGATCTCTGCATGATGCCCATCAATTTTTTTTACGATGCAGAGTTTCATCGGAGTTGTGGGTGCTTTGCCTCCTGAAGAAGGAATGGGAAGGTAGTTTTTGGCTGCGTTTACAGTCACACGGTGATGATAGGTTTGCCCAGAACCATCGCCTTGCTGGTGTTTAGTTGGTTTTTAGAGTTGAATCATTGTATTGCTTTGGACTGGAGGTCAAGCTATGTATGAAATTGATGCAGAGAGTGTGTATGGGTAGTTCTTTCCTGCTAGTCTGATAGTAGTCTGATGAGAGTTGAATAGTCTCGTAATCGATCATTGTTTCTGATTCACAGTTATTGTCAGCAGCTATTCGAGGGCTGGGAGGTTTTGGAGAGTCCTATTTGGGGCTGATGCCTGAATTTTTGTCGACTGCATAGATGACGTCGTTAGATGTAAAGACGAAAACTGATTGGATTGTCGAGGAAGGCGGGATCGACCACGTTGTGAAAGTGAATCTGATAGGTGACGAGGATGACAATGCGGGTGCGGGTCGAGAAATCACGGGAGATGAGGCAGGGGAGAGCCTGCAAAATGCGTGGCCTGCGGTGCTGGGGTCCTCTCAGCTGAGCAGGCGGTGTGTTCTTGGCCCGGCGACAACCAAGCAACCATGTGAAATAAAGGTTGACTTCAGCAACCACTTCTGTCGTTTGCGGTCAGTGGATGTCTGTAGTAGTGCCCGAATTTGTGAGGTGTATGGTCGATCCATGGGTAGTGCAGACTTTGAGTACGTCTGCACCGCACGCTGTCGACCCCACGCTTCCCCTCCCCCTGTGGAACGAGTCATATCCGAGGAGACAGAGGACACGGAGGAGAGGGAGAAGACGAAGGAGACAGAGAAGCCACACCTCACTTCGGCTTCCTCTCCGCAGACGACACTTTTTGTGTCAACAGTCAGAATCGCTAGGATTTCTGAATGGGTTGCAGCTTCCGTGAAGCTTGTATCCCTCCCGAACAAAAAGCAATGCGAAATTCGGTATGTCATTCTGTCTGTCTCGCCGATACCAAGGCCAGTGCCTCGGCCTCTGCAAGCTTCTCCTGTTCTGGCTTCCCTGAGCCTTCCATCAGGTCCAGATGGTCCTGTATTATCTTCTTCTTCATTGCCAGGCCTTCCCTCTGGTCTAGCCTCTCTGTTTTCTGGCCAGCTGAGCAGCCTCATTAATCAAAGTGGCGGTGGGAATTTGTCAGGAGGTGCCATGGCATCTCTTTTGCAGCATCAGCAGCCGCTACCCCACATTCCTGCAAATTTGGCGGGACTGGTTTCATCAACTGGTATGAATGCTCTTGCTGGTCAGGGCATCCTGGGGCTTCTCTGCCCCGGTGCAGATGGAGTGCCCAGAAAGCCCAACGTCGGCAGCACACTTGGTCCTCAAGCTACTCCAAATGCTAAGAAAGTCGGAGATGGAGAACTTCCCCCCTCTGGATCTTTTGTCTCCCCGGTGTCTATTGATGGATCAGGCCCAGTGGTCGTGACCAATAGTCAGGCAGCGGCCAACGGCCCTCTTGATGGTGGCGGCTCTTTAAAGTGCTGTAATGATGAACAAGCTTCAGGAGTGGGTGGGTCTTCCTGGCATCAGCCTGGTTCTAGTCAGGAACCAATGGGTGGCAAGCAGGCGATTATTGCTCAGGGGCCCAAACAGTGGATGCGCACTATGGCTGGCCCAACTCCAGCTGAAGCTGCATTGACCCGAAAGGGTATGGGATTGGCAAATCACAGCCAAAATGGGGCACATTTACAGTTGAGTGCTAGCGGTGACCATATGAAGAAAGAAGAGAGCGAAGAAGAGGGACAAGAAGAGAGGGGGCGAGGGAGAGAAGATGCACAAGCTGTGGTACCCGACCTTGGTGAAACTGTGGTCAGGCTGTTTGACAAAGTTTTTAAACGGCTAGATGACATAGAGCTAGCATGTTCAAGGGTTGAGAGAGCAGTTAATAACCGGTTTAATCAGCTTGATTTAAGGGTTAAAGCACTTGAGATGTCTGCCAACCGTAATTCTTTATTGTCACGAGCTGGTAGTGATTCTGCTTCTGATAAGTTACCAACTGATGGAGAAGTTGTCAGCTTTCAAGCAGGGGAACCAAGACCGTCATTGTCATCCCCGTCAAAATTGTTCCCGATATTGCCATTGTCAGTGAATTCGTCATCATCATCATCATCATTGCCATTGCCATTGCCATTGCCATCGCCATCGCCATCGCCATCGTCATCATCATCGTCATCGTCATCGTCATCGTTATCGTCATCGTTATCGTTATCGTTATCATCATCGTCATCATTGTCATCGTCGTCATCATCGTCACCATCATCGTCATCGTCATCGTCACCATCATCATCATCATCATCATCATCATCATCATCATCATCATCATCATCGTTGTCATCATCGTCGTCATCATCGTCGTCATCATCGTCGTCATCATCGTCGTCATCATCGTCGTCATCATCGTCGTCATCTTCGTCGTCATCGTCATCGTCATCATCAATATCATTGCCATCACTGCCGTCACTCCTGTCCTCATCCTTATCCTCATCATCGTTGTTGTTATCGTCAGTGTCGTCATCATCGAACCTGCAAAACGATGTACTATCTGTGATTCAGATGTGTCTGACCAGGAGTTTGTCTTCTCAGGGCGCCATGGGGCCCGGCAGTGGAGCCGGGAATACTGTGCCCTCTGAACCTGACTCAATCAAATCAGCAGCTGTGCTGACTGCAAAAGAAGACTGCTAGTTGGGAGAATTTGCGAATAGCTGTGTTCCAGCAAAAGGTACAGAAATCAGGTAGGAAGTCAACGAGGCAGGGAGGGAGGGTAGAAGGCAGCAAAGTTGCCTGCTGGGTTATGAGCAAGGGAGTCCATGAGTGATGTGAGTCACCGCTAAAAGCTTAGCAGCACCAGCGCTGAGTATATGTTGAAGGACGATTGTTAAGTAAGAGTATGGAGGTGGTAGGACCGGTAGGTTGAGGGGAAAGAACAGGCGTGTTTGGGTCTGAGACCATCGGAGCAGAGTTGGCTGCTGCGGTCACCCTGTGACAAGTCCATGAACGGGGTTACGTTTTGTAGGAGGCAGCAACTTGGCCTGCTGGATTAATTGAGTGGTAGGTCCATGAGCAAGGTAATCATAATGAAATGATTAGCTGCAGCAGCGTTGAGCAGACGTTGGAGGAGGATGATTTCAGTAGTAGAGTATGGAGATGGTAGGGTGAGAAAGAAGAAGGGGTGTGTTTAGGGACTAGAATGCGCCGAGTTTCGGTCCAAGAGAACAAAGTTGGCTCCTGCAGTCACCCTGTGTAACAAAGGCGATAGGGCGATTTTGCACTTCTGAGATGTTGCATTCGCAGGTTTTTGTATTCCGAGGGGAATCTTGGAGAAGATGTCTCTGGCAAGCTGCATAGCTTGAAGTTGGAGTTCAGGTTGCAACACTTGCGGTGTTTCGGAGTTTTTTCCTTGGTGTTGGTAAGAGAATGATGACATTCTCCCACTTTCCCTACCTCAATGCATAACATTTCTCTCTTCTCTCCTCTTGTCTACTGTCTTGCTTATTCTTTCTTTCTTCTTTCCTTTTTTTTTTTTGACATGGCCTTATGGTAATGGCTCCAAACTTGCTTATGCACTCTTGCTGGTATTGACGGAATCTTTTCTTCTTTTATGGAATGGGGTTTTCACCTGCGTTACCAACTGGAATGCCTGGATCACCTTGGTTGCCAGGGAGCCAAATTAAAAAAAAAAAAAAGAAATCCAAAAAAAATGAAGAAAATTTAAAAAATCCGAAAAAATTGAAGAAAATTCAAAAAATCGAAAAAAAAACAATGTTGTGCAGGATAATAAACCATAGTTGCGACGCACGTCGGTGCGCCGGTTTGCGCACGGTTTGCGCACGTCGCGCCACGCACCGCACAGCGCACCGAAGCGCAGCGCACCGAAGCGCAGCGCACTTGAAAAATTAGGTCCAAAAAAAAAAAAAAAAAAAGTAGGGTTTTTCTAATTTCTTAGGGCCCCCAACTCGGCAAAAATGTTAAACTCACCGCGCAAGTTCGCAAACCGGCCGCGCCCACGGCCCGAACTTTTCTTTTGGGTAAGGGCTGCTGAAAATTCGATTTGCGCAGGCTGTTACATACTTCAATGAGTATGGGCAGAACCAAAGATCAACCAATATAGGATGAGCATTTATGCAGCAGAAGTCTGATAACGAACTGACTCACATAGACTGACTCACATAGACTGACTCACATAGACTGACCTACATGGCATCACTCCACACACATACAATCA